ATGTTTAAAATTTGTCAATAATTTTAGTTTTAATTAAAAGAACTTTGAAAAATATGTAAACAAATAAAATATGTAAACATAAATGAAAAATATTTAATTAAAAATAACTTTTAATTAAAATAAAATTTAATTAAAAAATAATTCAATTTAGTGTAGTTTATAAAAGCACAAGGAGTATCGGTACTCCTTTTATGGGTATCGATACTTCCTTTATTATTTAAAAAAAAACTAGTCGTTGGGCCTGACAGTATCGATATTATGACCATGGTATTGATACTACTATATAAAGTAGTATCAGTACCTATTTTGCATTCTGGAATTTGAGCAAGCTGGTAGTATCGATACTTTTCTTATTTATGGTATCAGTACCGCATGAACAATATCGGTATTGTTCATAGAGTATCGATATTGTAAGAACAATATCGGTACTTCATACGTAAAAATAATTTTTGTGCTCAAATTCACTTTAAATGGACTTTGAATTATTTTTGAAAACTTTTTAATACTTTGAACAAATTCAATTAAGTCCAAAAATAATTTTCCTTAATTTGTTATATCAAAATATTACAAAAACATGGTTCAACATAATACAAGTTAAAAAAAACATAGTTACAGTATAAAAAAATACATAGTTACAGTACATAATATTTTGTAACGCCTATTTTAGTGTCCAGCTTGATATTTTGGAAGATGTAGACAATGTTTTCTGTTATGACCTTCACCTCTGCAGTGGCCACAAAGTTTGGGTAGACCTAACTCTATTTACGGATCATCCATATCGGTATGAATTCAGCTAGATTCAGGTCGACCCTGTAACTTCCTAGGAAATTGAGGATTTGGCAACCATTCCTCAGAAATTGTGCATGTAGGCCAGTATGCTTCATTTGGGAGGTACTTGAACTCACAACTGTAAATGTTGTGTATAGTGTGCAAGCTATAACAGTCATCAACATATAAGTATAGGTCAACATTGATGTGCATACATACGAAAACAGCATGAGCACATGGGAATCTAAAAGCTTGAAATTGACCACAATCACACCATCGTATATTCAAATTACCAGTGTATGTTGTAGAATTACCTCCTTCATGTGGTCGAACTAGTGCTTGGATAACGAAATCAGAATCAAGTCTGGAAAAATTATGGACAAACATTTATGTCGCATGTGTTTGATTCTTTTGCATTGCCTTCTCTAAATTTGGAACCTAATTTCTCCCATTGTTGATCATGGCATCAATTTGTTCACTTTTGTTTTGCCCATAATTTACCCAACCTAAAGTATGTCTCCCTAACAATATTTGTTATTGGGAGATATCGAGTCCCTTTCAGCATTGAGTTAATACATTCACCAAGGTTGGTAGTCATATGGTCGTAACGTCGACCCTCAACATCATATGCTTATAACCATCACTCCGTAGGGATTTCAGCTTCAAATTCATACACATCATCTCCATATCTTCTCAAATTTTCAAGTTGTGCACGGAAGTTTGGTTGGAGTAAAGCATACACTAAAAAACAGTAAATTAAATGTTATTGGGAAATAAAAAAAAACATAAATGAAGTAAAAATAATTAATGAGAAATGATATAATACTTACACATGTTGATAATCTACTTTTTAATCTTTTTCTGCTTAAACATCTTCATTGCATTTGACGCAATATGACATATACAATAGGCAGATATGCGTGCGGAGGCGTCCATCTATTTTTTCAGGTCTAGAAATTGTGTTTAACAACCCAGGCGACTGATATGAGATCATGCAAACCCCATCTTGAGTGACAACATAGGAACGCAAGTTGGAGAGAAAGAAATTCCAAGTTTCCTCCAATTAATTTTTAACAATGGCGAAGGCAATGGGGAAAATATTTTTGTCTCCATCTTGTGCAACAGCTATCATCAAGACGTGTATATAGAGCCCATACAGAAAAGTGTCATCGATTTAAATTATTTTTTTGCAAAATATAAACCCTTTGATAGCTGACTTAAACGCCCAGAACAAGCAACCAAATATTCTCTTCCCGGGGATAACATCTCCCTCAAGCTTGACTGCATGATGAGTATAATACCTAACAATGGTTCCAGGGATGAAAAATTACATTGCTTGCAGTAGACGTGGTAGCTCATTATACGACTGATCCCAATTACCATATAACAAGGCCATTGATTTCTGTTTAGCCATCCATGCTTTGTAATAAGTCGGAATATAACCAAATGTATTCCGAATGGATGCCACTAACACAGAAACGGGCACTTAGGATTTTTTTCCACCAACAACTTCACATAAGAGCATATGACATCCGAATCTAAATGTTTGTGGTCTTGTGTCAAGGAGGTCATTGTACATACGTGTTGTGCATTGAACCTTATGACTTCCCACAATATCTTCCGTTGTAGGTATGATACTCATATCCTCCATTTACAACCAACATCATAGTGTATACACCATAAGAAATAAGTCTTTTGATCTGACTCCGCCACATAGAATTGAAGATGAACTTTGATGCAGTACTCCTTGATTGCTAGTTGTGCCTTTTTTTGTTTCAAACTGAGAACCAATGGCCAACTCATTTGGCCACTCGTCTGAAGAACCCCAACGGACAGCACATAACTCTGACATATCATATATTTCAGGATTCTGCATAGCATCATTGTTAATGTCATGCATTGCAATTGCATGATGATACTGAGGTAAATCATGGCGAGGTATTTCAGGTTGAGGGTATATTTTTGCCCAAACATTTGGAGCATTCTGCAATCCTTGACATCTTGAAAGAGTTGCCTCTCATACATCTGCCTCAACATCCATACCTTGTCCCTCTAAAGCAGCCTCAAAAACACCAGACTCATCAACTAATGGTGTGTCATCATCGTCTACCAACAGAATAATATCTTCATCATCTTCGTTAAATTCAACAAGACTTCCACCAAACCGTCCAACAAGGTTATCATCATCATCACTTGCTTGTGGTTCAGAGGGGCCTGCTTCTTCTGCTCTTCGAGCTGGTATTAATGAGGTTGTAATATCAGTTGTATTCGTGGTTTTGACGTACATCTCCACCATATTATTATTTGATGATTGATGAAGTCCAATCATAACAGCAACATCATCAACATCATCAAGCTGGACTTTTCCATATGTCATTGGATTTGAGGAGATCATGTGTTGATAACTTAAACATGAAACATAAGCCCCCAAGTTTTTTCTCAATTTTTTGCTTCATTTGGCGATAAGATGCATCTACAAGGAACATCATACTGATGGGCCTGTGTGACTTAAACACAACACCAACATCAGTTTGTAGAATTTCGCCGTTATAATGGACAACTGTGAAGAATTTGTTGCTCATTGTTTGAAATGTATTTGGTTAGAAGAAAGAAGTTTGTTGTGTAAGAGATTAAAGATGAAAGGAGTATGTTGTGTGTGTAAGAGATGAAAGGAGTGTGTTATGTATGTTAAATTTTTAGTTGTTGGAACTCGTCACACTGACGTGACAAGTCCAATTGAATTTTTTTTTAAAATTTTGTCCGTTCAACAACGGTCAACAAATTCAACATTATACCCGTTGGAACTTGTCACACCGGCGTGACGAGTTCCTTCAACGATAAAATAATATATATTTTTTAAAATGCTTTTAAAATTTTTAAAAAAATATTTTTATTAGGACTCGTCACTCAGGCATGACAAGTCCCTTAGGATATATTAAATAAATTCGGGTTATAGGACCCATGTGACACGGCCCATTAAAAAATATCTCATGGAACCCATCACGCCGGTATGACGAGTTCCATGGACACTATAACATTTGTTGTAAATCCCAAAATAAATTTCATGTTGCCCTATTGAGCTAAATAAGCTACCTGGCTGGATTATTTTTCCAATTTAACCCTTAGTCATTGATGAGAAGATATATATATTTTTTTCACAAAGAAGTAAAGAACATTGAGGAGACTATATTTGGTGTTTCACCAACATTGTAACCATTGAGAAAGATGGAATCAGACCCTTGATTTTCGTAAAAGAAAATTATTATTTATGGGGCGTTTGGATCAAGGAATTTAGCATTTTCAGTAGGTATATTTGTTTCCTAATGAAGGATACCCATGTTTGATTGTGGTATGATTTTCAAGTGAAGATAATGTTATAATACCAACAATATATTTTGGTGTTTTATTCCTGGAAATGTTATTCCCACATGTGTGTTAGATTTTATTTTATTTTCGTGCTAAGGGTTAAAATACTCCTCTTTTCCAGTTTGCCTCTTGACGATATCTTCTCTCCCATGCTGCGAAAAATTCTTCCCCAGTTAGATTCATCCTTTGCTTTCTCTCTGCTTACCTCCATTCAAACACATTAACTATTTTACTGTATCTGTGTCGTGTTCTTTAAACTGCTAAAACGAAACAATCAAAATCTCTCATTCTCTCTAAATTTTGTTTTTCGTAAAAGCATGAGAAATAGAAAATGTCAAACTCGCAGTCGGATTCGAGCGTTTTCAGCGTTCGAATTGTGTCCATCGATCATTAATGGCACCGCCAATTCCCGACTTCGATATTTGTTACAGTAGCTTTCAAGGTATCGTTTCCTTTTCAATTTTTCTTTTTATTGCCGAATAATTCTAAACCTTTGTTCAGCTACTGTTGTTTTTGAAAAGCTACAATTGCTGAATTTTTTGAAGGTGGAAAAGTTAATGAAGTTCCAGTTATAAGAATGTATGGTTCGACACCGGCTGGTCAGAAGACTTGTTTTCATATTCATAGAGTAAGATTCTTGTTCTATTTTCTTTCTTGATTATTGGTTTGGGTTTGTAATTAATTAAGAAAATTGTTGTCTTTTATGAATGGTCGAGGTGTTATTTGTTTTGTATTTGCATATATTATTAACTAAGCCTTTTAAGTACGAATGGGAACGAACCATTTATAGTGCTTATTTGAATTTGTTTAACTATAATTACTTCCTTTTTTATGAGGTCTTGATTGTTGCATTTTCCTTCTCCTAGGCTTTGCCTTATTTATATGTTCCATTGGCGGATTTGTTACCTCAGAGCACTCCTACACACCAGGAAGGTACTGAGCATGTTTGATACTCTTTGCATTTTGTCTATTGTATGGGTAATATTTGATTTAAATTGCACTCCTTATTTATTTTATAACAGATGATGCATGCACGCATGCCTTAGCTCTTGCCTTAGAAAAAGCCGTGAAGGTATATTCAGTTAAATTCATGGAGTTGTGATTGTTGATTTGTGCTTTTTTCCTTTTTTTTTCGATTGCTATGTTGCTGATGCAGTAGATATGGTGTGAATTTGTTTTAAATTGAACTTGCAGCTGAAAGGTGGTTCTGGTTCAAAACAGCAGCATGTCCATGGTTGCAGCCTTGTACGAGCAAAGAAATTTTATGTTTATCATTCATCCGAAGAGCTATTTGTGAAGATTCACCTGTATCCAAAGACTATATTATATCATTATCATTATTATTTTTTGAAACAAAGAACATTTTGTATTCACAAGTTAGACTAGATATTGAGGACAAAATGTTAGACTAGATATTGAGGACTTTGACATGATCAAAACTACCGTCCTCATGACGTCTCTCGTGCTGCCAATCTTCTTTTGGTAGGGAATTGATTATGTTTTTCAATGTGTTGTTATCACTATCATTCATGGACTTCATATTTGCTTTGATTTAATGTTTTGGACTTTTTTTATTCCGTTCTAAGACCTGGGCTGACCTGTAAGATGATTTTAGTCATAAGTGGCCTATTATGTTTAGCATACATCTTTTTGATCTAGGAATTTACTTAACAAACTCATAGGTCATTGGTTATGCAAAATGAATATATTCCAATAAAAAGAAGGATTCAACTGAGTCAGGAAGCAAGAATGAGGAACATATATAGTATATACACAAAGATACTTCATAAAAATTTTGGGTTTAAAGTCTCAAGACCCCTTAGGTACTGCTCGACTTCCAAAATTTTGAGCATTGAAGAATTAAGTGTGGGGGTCACGGATAATAATTCCTTGCTTGGATATTACAAAGCAGGTTTCAGGTGGTACACCAAAAGATAAAGAAATGAAGGTTTAGCCATACTCATTTGTTGGAATTCCAGAGACTACAAATTTCAAGAACAATAAATTGGATCGAAAGCTAAGAAAGCCTTCAGTTTTTGATGGTTTACCTCTAATTAAGTGCTGGTGCTGCCAAGATCAAAGTCCATGGTGTAGTCATACTCAGTTGTTGGAATTACAGAGGCTACAAATTTCAAGAACAAGAAAATATACCTGCAATAATTGAGTTGAAAATTCATGAAGAAAATGTCACACCATGTCAAAACTGAGAGAACTGCCATACAACAACAATTGAATTAGCAACAATTGAAAATGCGCACAACAATTGTTCGTATACGAATAACCAATGCACGATCATTTTGTCACAAATCTGCATCGCTCTCGCTTGCTTCGAGTGTGTCAATTGCTGTTATGAACTCTGTGATGGTTTCTAGTGATCTAATGAAAGGTAGTTGAATTCTTGAAGACGAAAACACATGGATATGAATATTACTATTGTGGTTTTGTATGTATACGCTATTGAAAATGATAATGCTATGAGCCCATGAGCAGTATGTCTATTATTAAGTTACTAATGCAATGAATACATATACTATTCTAATGCCATCTAAGATAAAGGGAAATGTTATAGAGTAATGCAGGTATCTTAGGGCAGCAGATGCATAGTATAATCAATCAAACATGTGCCTTATATCACAAGAATATTATTTTCTTATTTGAATTATGTTTCTGTAATATAAATTCATGAGATAAATAATAATGATAAAATATGTAGAATTAAGTATAAATATAAAAGATAAATAAATAAATTATTGTATATAGAAGATATAATAAATATTATATCTTAGATAACAAAAATAATTTACATATTTTTATTATTATGAATATCTATGATAAATTATTGTATATAGAATAATGTAAATCTTGTCGATTGAAAAATACAAGAAACCTCTCAGTGAATGCGTCACATATAAACTGAAGCTAGTTTCCACAATATAAACATTAATATATTTTTAATATATTTTTACCATAAATTATGTAAAATTTAATATTAATTAAAATTAAAATAATACATAATATATTTAAATACTTAAGTAATATATTCTCAACTGATAGAATTTTTATATAAATAATTTTTATTTAAATACTTAGAATTTTACTTGTTAAAAATATATAACAAGGACAATTTGGTAAAATATACATTCCAATAATCTTTTATTCCTTCACCTTTGCCTGTGGTTTTTACCCTATATTATTTAAGGGGTTTTCACGTAAAATTTGTGTATTCTTTATCTTTATTTTTATTTTCTCAAATTATCAGTTGCAATTTTGCTCTATCCGATAGTCGTATTATGCAACAATTGGCATCAGAGTCAGATTTGAGTGTGTAATATCAACTTATTGTCTTTTTGGTTGCCACCAAAAGGTGGATCCTCCAACATAAGAAAGTAAGAAGGTATTACCCATTCTTTGAAGGTCAAGAGAACTATTCACGATAGTGAAATAGTGGGAGCTATCAGTATTGGAAGCTATGGCAACGAAATTTGATATTGAAAAGTTCAATGAGAGAAATTTCTCATTGTGGAAATTGAAAATGAAGGTTATCCTCAGGAAAGACGGTTGTCTAGCAGCTATCAGTGAAAGGCCGGTAGATTTCACAGATGACAACAAATGGATCGAAATGGACGGGAATACTATGGCAAACTTTCATCTAGCATTAGCAGATGAAGTATTGTCAAGCATCGAGAAAAAGAATACAACTAAGGAGATATGGGATTATCTCACCAAACTATACGAGACCAAATCGTTGCACAATAAAATTTTCCTTAAGAGGAAATTGTACACTCTCCGGATGCCAGAATCTACTTCAGTGACGGAGCACTTAAACACACTGAACACTTTATTTTCTCAGCTTACATCCTTAAGATGTACAATGATAAGAGGGAGATCAACAGAACGTGGCCAAAACAGCTGTCACAAACATGGTAGATTGTTAACTTCCTAAAAAGGCTACTTTTAAGGCCATTTTCACTTAAGTTATTATTTTTTTAAAAGCTCATTTTAGTCATTTTAGGATCATGTAGTTGCATATAGTTGCATTTGTGGTGGTATTGCTTTTTATTTCTTAAGGGTGTTGTATGAGATAAAGGTGCAGTTGTTTGTGGTGTGCAGGAATAGCTAACACAAAGGTCTCTTCGGGAAGTAATGTCGCGGCATCACATATTGGAGAAGCATATTGAAATGCCTTGGCATTTTTGGCGCAGAAAACGATAAAAAGATACAGTTGTACGAGGACAGCTGGCTCTATACGTGAAATGATGGATGTAACCACCTGCCAGAGGACCACTGCCAACTAGAGGATAAGGTTCACGCACATGGTGTGATTCTAGGGGTATGAGGGGTATTTTTCACCCAATATCACCCAACAACCTCATCATTACCCCTAGATATTTTTATTATATATGACACCTCACAAGGTAGAGAATGAATGCATAGGGCAGAGCAGAAAAATCTCATTTTTATTTTTATTTTCCCTTCTTCTTTCTTGGGTATTCCTCAATTGATAAAGCTCCAAGGAGTGGCGAACTAGGCGTCCGAGAGGAGCTAGAGATCTAAGGCGGTTCGTGGTGGCCGAGGAGACCTTCGTTGGCGCTCGTCGAAGGCTTCTTCTCACTTTCCTTTGCTGCTATTTTTTTTATTTATTTTTGGGTTATTGGAACGAATATTTTATGGCTTGTTCTATGGATATTTCGAACCCCACCATGTACTAACTTATTTGGTGGTGGTTTGTTTAATGATTGTTTAAACTTTATTTTAATGGTAGATTTATGTTTATCTTGGATATTTGTTTGCTTTGCTTATGAATACTTCACCATCTAGGATTGTAAGAGGCATGAGAGTGTCCATTTATTAGATGAAGGTTAGGTGATCGAGAGAAACTTAAGCTAAAAATACTTGTAGTATTCGAGAGAAACACAAGACAAGATCCTTATAAGCAATGGGCTATAGTGTTTTCAAGGGGGCTTTGAACCAGTCTAGGAATACTATATCCTAATCCCTTAGTACTCAAGAGAGACTAGGATAGGATTTCAATGACTAAAAAGGTTGTTTTTATCAACAGTGTGGGCTTTCATCATCGTTGAGTGAGAGCAGATGCCATGGCATCCTATTCTGTTAGGTTCCTTTGACTAGAGATAGCGGGAACACTTTCGAAAAACCCTGTCGAGTAAGTAAAGATTAGATAGCTTAAATCTACATGAGAGATAAGTTTAGCATCCTTAAATCAATCCCTACCATTCATTCCAGTGGAAGCTTGTCGTATGAGGATTATCTACTTATCTTTTATTTTCTATTTATTTACTGTCTTTACCATTTTCCATTGCCTTGACATTACACCATTTTCAACATTAAACATCTACTCTTGCCACTGCATTTCCATTTGCTACACCATCATACCATCAATCTACATCCACCTTCATACACTTTTCATTTACCGTGACATTTGTATATATCAAGACTAACTATACTTAGATAGAATAGTGCATTGCTTTGGTTAGACTTGTGTAATTTCACCCAATCCCTGTGGAGACGATACTCACTCATCACTTTATTACTTGAGAGATTGTGTATATTTACACATTATTTGCATATAATTTTATAGTACTCACAACACGCGAACAAGTTTTTGGCGTCGTTGCCGGGGATTGGCAGCCTGAAGTTAATTATTTTTGCCAGAGCATTTTATTTTTGCATTTTTATTTGCGCATAGTTTACTTTATATTTTTGTTTTATTATTTTTCAAGTTTATTTAGTGTATGCTTAGAAGAAATTCTGAAGATCCATTGGAACCGATAGAATCTGAGATTGAAAGACTCTTTAGACAAAGGAGACGTGATCAACGTGCTCGAAGAAATATGTATCAAATAGGAAACCAAGGCATTGGTCAAGATGACGGAATTCTGAATGCCGCAGCATTAGACAATGTTGAACCTGCTGGAAGGTCGTGTATTATTCGTGATCACTTAAATCCGATGCTGGATGATCTGAATCCTGGGATTGTGGCACCTGAAATTCAAGCTGCACATTTTGAGTTGAAACCAGTCATGTTCAACATGTTGAATTCCATTGGGCAGTTTGGGGGTATGCCAAATGAAGATGTCAGGCAGCATATTCGAAATTTTCTGGAGGTTTGTGATTCTTTTCTCCAAGAATGAGTGCATGAGGATTTTATGAAGTTAAAGTTGTTCCCGTATTCATTGCGTGACCGAGTAAGGGCTTGGTTGAGTGGTGTACCATCCGGTTCGATAGAATCATGGGTCGAATTTTTCAAAATTTTGTTATTGAGGTACAATCCACCAAACATGAATACGCAGCTAAGGAATGATATAGCATCTTTTCGACAGGGCGACGACGAATCTATGTATGAGTGTTGGGACCGTTACAAGAGTTTTCT